CCTTTTGTGGTAGTGACCCAGTTTGTATGATCATGAAAACTGAAATATTTATTTAAATGAGCAACCAGAATATAAGTAAAAGCTTGCTTTGTATATTCCACTTCATAACACAGCTTATTGCTGTGGTTCGTAAACACACATTCATATTAAGTGTTCATTTTCCTTATCTTTCAGTTAGGCGTGTACGCCTGGTTTATGCAGCTATATACGAAGTGTGTCTGAACCTGGTGCCTCATGTGCGTGGATGTCCCTTTCCACATCTTTAGTGTATAATTTTGAGATTTGAAAGTGTTTTGTGAGATGCAGCACGCCTGTGTCGGCAATACTGATTTAAGGTATTCTTGTTCTTACAGCAGCCAGGGGGTGCTTGCAGGTGTGTTGCAAACTCTCCCTTTACCTCCTCGAGCCCTCTCAGCAGCTGAGTTTGCAGACTGCTCTTTGCAAGGGCTCTGACCAATTTGCGACATGGACCTGCAAAACATTGCTCTTTCTACAGAGGGGCTTTGAGGGGGGCACTTGCTCTGGCACCTGGGACACACTGAGGGAAATACCTTTGCCTGGTGCTGCTGCTGAAGACGAAGTATTGTCAAAGCATGGCCTTACTCTGATGAATTCTGCTGGAGCTGCTGGTTTGGAAATGTGTTGTAAATTTTACAATTATAGAAATGAAAAATCTCATTTTGTTGCTACTGTTCATATTGCATGAGAAAGCGAGTACCTCAAAGCATTAAAACCAAGAAGGGAGGTTTGGCTTAGTTACCTCTAGCAGACTTCCTCACGAGAACTAACTACTGAACCTTTACATGTGTTTGCTTCAGATTTTAGGATTGCTTTAAAAATGTTGAGATTACCTATTGCTGTGAGTGTACTTACCAGGCAGTTTCTGGGCTCCCTTTTGCCCTTTTCTGTGCTGGTTTATAGATGCAGATTTCCTCTTAGGTTTGCATTATACTTGATTTTTTTGCTTAAGTTCTATTTTGCCTTTTACCTGAAAGCAGAAATAAATTTCATAAGTTTAGAATTCACTATTGCTTTCTTGTGTATATCAGGAAAACTTGTTAACATTTTGGAAATTCAAGAGTTTATGAAAGGAGTTTAATATTCTTGTAAACTAGAGATTGCTCTTTCCTTGAAAGAGCACTGCTCACTTCTTTCCTGTCTCCTTTCTGCAAGCCCATGCCTCTTCTCATCCTTTATTTGAGGTGTGACTGCAGAACAGATTGTGTCCTTCTACACTGTAAGGTATTGTCAAAGGAAATAAGAAGCATTTAGTTGCAGCTAAAATTTTGTTTAATCGGTCCGTATTGCTTTCTTCTTCAAAATTCCTTGAAATGGAATGTGGAGAGTAGTTACTTTTGCCGGGGTGGCATCAGCAAGAGTAAGAAGCTGCATTTTAAGAAATACGGGAATGACAGAAGCTTAAAAAAAATTGTAACACACCTGATGTGTGTTTATGTTTATAAATACTAGAGTGACTTGGCTTTCACCTCCTTAACGTCACCCCATGATGCAGATGGAGGAACAGGTTAGTTTGTGTGTCTTGAAATGAGTTTTGCTGATGGGAGTTGCTTGTCCTTACAGTTGTCTTGTTATTTTTGGATTACATAAAAGGGGATTGTGGTACAAGTTTCCCTGCTCTTATCGGTCAGTTGAGAGAATCATGAGCAGTCCTACACTGTGTTTACGATGCAATCATAAATCCTAAAGTCACTGACACATTTCTAAAAAGTGAGTGACATGCTGATATTTCATGATGTTTCTTCTGCTGGTTGCAGAAAAGGAGCAGCTGGGGAAAACACTGTGTTTGCTACTCAGTGGTTCGAGAATTAAAAGAACAAGTTGAGTCTTGTTCTCTTGATAGGAAGAAGACAGTAAAAACCCAGAGGTAGCTTAGCACTTGGATTAAAATGGTTTCTTCACAGTTTAACCTTTTTGAGAGGTTTGGATGGAAATTACTTGCTGCTGAAAAAGATTGAAACTAAAATGGGATACCTTGTAGAGACAATAGGCAATTAAATGGTCTTGCTTGGACAGACTGCATGCAAGATACGGAGTTTGTAGGCATGGATGGTGTGCCAAATATTGAAGAACTGGGGAGAACAGAAGTTTGGTGGTTCTGTACTGAAAAGTTCTGATACTCAAAGGCAGTGTTTTGAACAAATATTTCA